CTATTCTATTCTATTCTATTCTATTCTATTCTATTCTATTTTGTGGGGTTTTCCTATCTGGGACTTATAATTCAGTTTGTGTCAAATCCACTATTCCTGCTGTACATATTTCATGACTGGAATTATCCAGGTATTAATTGCCTTGGTAGTATTTCCACCACTGAGTTTAGACCTTAAAACCTTTTTCAATTTTCTATTCATTACTAACCTTCTTCTAGACTTCAGTGTGCCTAATGTTGACAGTTTATTATTATTGTTATTACCTGCCTGGCCAGTTTTGCAATCCTCTGTCTATTAACTGGGGAATGAGCCTCACTTAATTAAATCACTTTTTAAAATAAAAGTGTAGAATCCCAAGGCTTTTTATATAATACAGAGGAATTTATAAAAACCTGAACGATAGCTCATGCAGTTCTCATCTCTGCCACAAATTTATCAGAAGATCTAATATAATATGCCTTTTCCAGCTTCTCCTACCACCAGAGATGTATTAACACTGTGCTTTGGACCTTTTAAAAAATCATTTGCCTTTTCATAATTTGTTGCCTTTAAAAGTGCTTTATCATTTTATTCTGCTCTTTGTGTGTCTCCCTCTAACTCTGCCCTGTTATCTTTTACCAGAGGGCACTGTTCAAAATAAATGTAACGTGCTGTGAAATATCCGCTTTGCATATTGTACATTTTAGTTTGCCTTTCAATTAAATTCCACACAGTCGTGAACCCTTTCTTATATATAAACAGCTCACCCTCTGAAGTTCTCAATAAACTTTGATGGAATAACAGCCACCTAACATGTGCTTTGCATGTAAGGCCTATTTTCTTCAGCAGCCTTTCTCAATGCGATGCCCTTGAAAGTTTCTGACCATAACACCCATTAAACTCTGACCACCAATCAAACTACAAGGGGTTGACAAAAAAGGTACCCTAAGATATCTGGAAAACAGAGGAACAGAAAACCCTCTTAGTTCATTTGCAAAGGATGGGAAAGGATTGCTTCTTGTGAAATAGATTATCCACTGATCTGATACAGCCCAAGTGGTGAGTGTGTGTGTGTGTTTGTGTGTGTGTGTGTATTTCTAGCCCTGAATAAATATTACAGCATAAATTTATCAATGCTCCTGTCCAAAGCAGTTTCTTTAGATTACATAAAGTTGACTGAGAAATTAAAATGAATAACTGTAGATCCAGTACAAGACAAAACCTGAAAACAGCCAAATGATAAATCATTATTATTATAATAAAAACTACATATAGTATATTATTTAAACGATAATGTTATATTATGATAAAAAGCAGTGAAATGTAATATTGCACATTCTATGACTCTACTACCTAAAAATAAAACACTGTCAGTAACAGGAAGAATATCCTGTTCATATCTTCTTTTACTCTGCAGGAAAAAAAAATATTTGCAAAAGTTCTACTTGGGTCATTTTCATAAGGCAAGTGATAATCCTTCTCCTGTGCCTTGATGTCAGCAACATCAGTGAAAGGGAGAGATCATCCACTTCACCCCATCTATTTGACCACCTACCTAAATACATTTATGTGAGCTTAAAGGAGAATGAACTCCATTCAGTGGGACTTTCTTCTCAGTAAACATGTATAGGATTGGAATGTACATTAGCAATATGTTTTGGGATCAGTAAGGGTAGGGACATACTTCAGTTGTCATGACAATTCCAGAAGCAATGTTGTTTGCATATAATGAGTAACATATGCTGGCTAATATGTCCAGTAATGAATGTGAAGATGTAAATGAAACATATGAAGGCAAGAAGTGGGTGGCATCTCATAGGAAAACAGGACGTTAAAACTTTGCAGAAAGAGTGGGGCATTTTTAAGTGGCACACAGCTAGCAGAGGGGAGAAGAAATATAATCGAAGCATATACTTTTAAAAGTCATCTCTTATACATCTTGTGTCTAGATAGAAGTGGAAAAATACTGATCTTTTGCCTTCTATTCCTTCCCCTGAGAAACAGGTAGCTGTCATATTGTTCCACCATCTCCATGTATCTTACACTACACATGCACCTGACTTCTGATCCCTTGAAAAGGTTAATGACAATGTGACTGAGTTGGTTACAAGATTCCTAGGACTCTTTAACACTCGGGAAAAATGCAGACATTTCAGCCTGTCAAAAAACTATACCTTGAAAAAACTAAAAAAAATAACTTGTGGGCTTAATTAAACCCTCCAGCTAATATTTGCAAGAATCTGCTGTATCTACATCTCTATAAGCACACACGGCATAAACAGCTGATGGTAGGATATTAGATATGGTACATGCATTTTATATCATATAAAATCCAATGCCTTTCTGTCCTCTCCTTCAAAACATGGATCTTTGCCAGTCCAAAAATTGCATCCTGTAAATGGCATCACTTTCAGCAGGAAAACTGACACATTGGTTTAATTTCCCTATTGAAACAGATTGATTATATTAAGACACATTAGATCAAAATTGGAAATGCAATATGTTATTTTGGAAAGTAAGAGGAATAGGTTTTTTTTATTTTTCAAAAAAATATGGGTGAAGGAATTATTATCATTATCTATTTCAGGAATGGATTTGGAAGAAGGGAGGAGTGCAGAAAGTCCTTCCAAGGTTGCAAAATTCTGCAGTAGTGCTACTAAGGTGCAGTGAATTTTCCAAAGGACTGCCTCCATATTTTACTAGTGAGATCTGGCTCAGTTTCATTGCTACATTATCTATATCCATGCCAAATACATGCTGATTTAACTACAGAGTAAGTCCGGTGTAGGAGATTCTGTAGGGGGCAGAAACCTCATAGAAGATTTGAAAGATTTAAGACTGAAAGATTTGAATGATTTTGAAAACTCACAAAAGATTTAAGCTGCTGGTAAATCTGATTGCTTAATCAACTGAAGAACTTCTGGAGATTTGGAGGTTTTCTTTATATTTTTTCACTTTATCTCTCCTCCCTCCACTTCGAAGTCTTTAACAAATTTCCAGGTTTTTTTTTTTTCAGGTTATCAAAGTTAAGCTAAAATTCCAAAATCTTATGCATTGCTCTTTCTAAGTAAACATTCTCAAGAATAAAGTACAAGGATACATAAGTAAGTTGATTTTTACAGTCTTCCCTCAGTATGAACCTCTTTGAAGCATTAAATCATTCCTGTATTGTCTGGTATTACCTCATTTATTCCAGCACATCAAGAATAATAAAATTGTTACTTATATCATAATGTGAGACAGATTTTTTTTGTGTATGTGAAGTCCTAACTGACAGAACTTATTTAACCTTCCATGTGCCTTTAAATGTAAAGTGGAAATGTAGAAACTGAAATCAATACGTAATAGAAAAAATAAAACATTCTCAGAGGAAAGCATGAGTAAAATTGCTATCCATCTTAAGAGGAAAAACAAAACCTATGAACTGAACAGAGCAACCGAATGATCCAAAAGCTTCTATCTCCAATTCCTAAGTTTTAGCCCACTCCTTTCAAAGGAGGATTAAAGAGTTTGCAAATCAACTCCACCTGTTGATTCCCACCTACTGCCCTTATCCTATGTCATCTCAGTACTGTAAGCAGCTGCCTGCCCCCTTCAGTTTTAACCTAGTTCCTTTCCCAGGGGTGAAATCACTTTTTTTAAAAACCACAAACCTTCCTGCCTTAAACAAAACTCAGGCAAAACCAACTCCCCACTCCAAAAACGCCATAAGTAGAAAGACATTCCAATTGTTTCCTACCGACAAAAGATGCCCATTTCTGTTCTTTTTACCTGATCAAAATAGATTATCCTGGTTTTGTTGCTCATCTCCGAAGGCTCATGGTTGGTACTCCTGACTGCCGAGAAAGCGACCTTAGAATTAGCAGCCCGTACAGAGATCCCCAGAGGAGAAGAAGAAGATCCCTTAGAATCGGTCGCTGGGTTGGAATCACAAACTACCAAGCATTTCCCTTCCAGCACGATGGGTTCCGTGTCATTCTGCGCCCAGACGGGGAAAGCGGAGAGAGCAAGCGTTAGGATGATGGTAGGCACCATGGACAGCGCCCTGCTTAAAGCGCCCATGTTCAGCACCAAGAGCGGCGGACAGCGAAGCCTTGCGCGGAGCGCCCCAACGTTCCTCTCCTTCCACCTCTCTCCACGCTTACACAGACCACGCCACAAAGCCAGCTCTAACAGCCCTACCAGCAGCGGAGGGGGAAGAAAAAAAATCACCACTCTTACACAGACAGAGGCACACGGGCACACACACACCGCTTGCTACCAGCACAGCAGCAGCAGCAGAAGAAGAAGCTTCTTCTGAAAATGTTCAACATTTCCAGCGGGAAAAAAAGTCTGTTTGGTTTTGGAGGGAAGGATCCTTTAAAAAGCAATTGGAAATGTGCTTCCCAACACCTCCTGGACCAAATCAGCACTTCCCGGTGCCCCTTTCTTTGTCATTGAAACCCCCCCGCTCCCAGAATCCAGGAGGAGAAAGCTATAGCGGGAGAGGGGGGGGGAGCCCTAAGGTGAATTATTGACGAAAGAAAGCGAGAGCGAGATCAGGAAGAAATAAAAACATTTGACGTAGCAATGAGTCGTCTCGTCTTGCCCCCCATTCTTGTCCTGCAGGGATTGAGCCGACACGCTCAACTATTGATAGCAGAGACTTTCCTTCCAAACTGGCTCGGATAGTGTGGTTGAGCTCGTTTGCCAGGGTGCTTTGAAAAAAGCGAAGTTCCCTCGCTCTTTACCACGATTCCCCCCAGCATCATGGCATACAAAAGCACGCCCAACCCTCGTTCGCTCGCTCTCGCTTGCCCTCTCTCTCTCTCTCTCTCTCTCTCTCCCTCCCTCCCTCCCTCTCTCCAGCTCATTCACTACAATTGTCTTTAAACGGAGCGTCTAGCAGCATTGCAGGCAAATTGCATTCTCCGAGGCTACCATTCCAAGCATAACTTTGTCAGTTGTTTTAAGGCTTGTGTGTTAGAGCAAATGCCTCCCCCCACACCCCCGTGTTAAAAATTAGCGGTTGGCCCTTCCGCTCGCTTTGCAGGTTTAACTATTGAGCAACCGTCAGTCAAAACGCTTATTGCAATGCGGTATTTAGACGACAACCCTCAACCTGATTGTGAGGAAGCAAAATCCAGTGAAACGACGAGGTTTGCTTCTGAGCAGAAGTTTAAGGAATCGGGTGGCAACTTTGTTTAACCGATCTGAAGTTTTGAGTTTCATTTAAAATGTTTATGGAAGTATCAACCTGCAGGTTTCGGTATAAAAGTCAGAGAAACCTACCAACAATCAAAATTGTGGGATAAGGTACTCTGCACCTAAGAGTAGAATATTTTCAATACCTGTGCATAAAACCTTTGATTAAAAACCCTTTTAATATTCATGATGTGGCTAAAGGTCGTTGTATGTATTAAATGCCTCAGTTTCTTGAAGAAGCAACACAGCAGTGTTTAAACTGAAACAAAAGTGATAGTTTGTCCCACTTTCATGTTGAGATTAGTGGGTTTGTATTCTAGTGCACTGCCTAGTGGTTCTTTTTGAAAATGTTTTTGTTAATTTTTTATGCAGAAGGCAGGATACCTTGGAGAAAAATAACAATAGGAATATAATTGTAGTATTATACAGTAGTATTTCAAGACTGTTTTCTCTGTCTTACTTAGGTTATTCATTTTTTGCAATTTCCTTCCAATGAGGGACACAAATAGAGTTCATATTTGTTAAAGACTTTGAATGAGGTAGCAGGTGGTATTTATTTACTAAAACATCAATAGCTAATACGTCCCTGAACGTATTTTGAATAATATAACAAAAATATAATACTTCAATTTTCTTTTCAACAGTTATGCACACAATTTTAATCAAACCCTTCACTCTAAGATTTCATTATATTTTCCTTCTTTCTATAAGCTTCTCTTTCTAATAATCAAAACTACAAAATCATTTTCCTTCTTACACAAAAAGTCCATAGGGAGCCAGTAACAGCAAATGAAAGGACATTTTATGCAATAGCTTAATAACAATCAGCTTACATAAAACAAATTTTCCAAAGGTGACGTTTCGCCATTAGAAATCCTTGCTTCTCATTGCTACCACTATCAGTTTTGATCATGGCAGGACTGAGTATACATTTGGAAGCAAATGATGTAATAATGTCAAGTTGAGATCGTGTAGCTTTCACTTGTATGGCAACATGCTTTTTGGCAAGTTCTTAATTCTGTTTATTGAAAAAATTGATAAAAAGTTTAAAGGTGAGGGTAATGTTTTATATTGTTGCTGTTATAACATTTATTCCAAACTATTCTAAACTAGTAATGCTCAACATCCAGTAATAATTAAAGTTAGACTGTGCAATATTATTTAATAAACCAAAATGAGACAAAATTTCCTGCCTGCCTGCCTGCCAGCCAGCCTTCCTACCTGCCAGCTTTCCTGCCTTTCTTCCCATTGTCAGCATTATTATTCATAATATCTAGGCAGAAGGACTTAGGCTGGGTATGAAAAACATGTTTACTAATTAAATATTGAGAGAGCATTGGTTTATTACTTACATATCACTCTCATGGAAACACTGTTACTGAGTCCTGCAAGACTGAGTAATTATTGCATTGTTGTGTTCCCAAGTAGAATATAGAATAAGTGAGTTGAAAGGGACCTTGGAGGTCTTCTAGTCCAACCCCCTGATTAGACAGGAAACCCTATATGCCATTTCAGGAGCATTTACAACTTCTGGAGACTGATTAATTGTTCTCACTTTCAGGAAATTTCTCCTTTGTTCTAAGTTGCTTCTGTCCTAGATTAGTTTCCATCCATGGCTTCTTGTCCTACCCTCAGGTGCTTTGGAGAATAGCATGACTCCCTCTTCTTTTTGGCAGCCCCTGAGATATTGGAACACTGATATCATGTCTCCCCTAGTCCTTCTTTTCATCAAACTAGACATACCCAGTTCCAGCAAGATACTGCATATAGGTAATCTATGTTGTCTTCAACCACCCACTGTAGCCTCCCATGGGAATTAGGAGCAGAAAGAGGATATATAAGTATCCCCCCTTCCATTTTGTCACCATGTCTCTCACCTGGANATCCATCCTCCCTCCCGGTGGTTAGAGTGCAGCATTGTAGTCTAACTCTGCCCACTGCCAGCAGTTCAGTTCTAATTGGCTCAGGATGGACTCAGCCTTCTGTCCTTCAGAGGTGGGTAAAATGAGGACCCAGATTGTTGGGGGGCAAGCGGCTGACTCTGTAAACTGCTTAGAGGGCTGTAAAAGCCCTGTGAAGCGGTATATAAGTCTAAGGGCCATTGCTATCTCAAATAGAGAGAAAATTGCTTTTTAGGCAGATTCATGTTCCTTCTTTTCCCCCCTTGGCCGAGCCCAGCGTTGGGAGTAGGCCGAACCAAGTCAAGGGTGCCTTCCCCCCACAGCCATCTACCTGTGGTCATGTCTTCCAGCATCTCCAGCAACATGTCCTGGGTCTCGTCGATCAGCTTGGTGCGCTGTACCACCAGTTTCCGCAAGCAGAGGTAGCCGTTCAGCACCGTCCCCACCAGCCGGCTCTTGAAGTGGCGCTTGATGGACTCGACTTCCACGAAGGAGGACAGGAGGCCTGGCAGAAGGGGGGAGGGGACAGGGAGGTCTGCTGAGCAACAGGGGCCCCACCAGGGCCTTGCGGCTCCCCAGAGCCCAAGAAAGCCAAAGGGGTGGGGTGAGGAGGGGGACCTTGCGGCTGCCCTACCGGTGATGCTCTTGAGAGCATAGCCCTGCTGCAGGTCGGTGCTGAGGGTGGCTTCCTCCAGGGCCAGGAGACGGGCGATTTCCTGAAACGGAGAGATGTCCAGCCTTGAACAAAAGAGGCCCAGAACAGCCAGGGCAGGGAGGAAGACCAAGACTGCACCCCTGGGAGCTGGGGGAGCTGAGCATCCCCCCCAAAAAAGGCTCCTTTTAACCTGTTCTGACCTAGGCTTTAGCAAATCAGGAAGCAGACTCCTTGTTTTTATTAAGCTAATATGAAGTCCTCTCATTCATATCCAGCAAGGTCCCAGCAAACAGTCTTTCAAGGGTGAATTTACAACCACAGACCTTTTATCAGGCTTGGAGAGCTGCCAGGCCGATATCTTCCAAGCGCCACGCGGTAGCAGCAATGACTTGGCAAGAAGTCAAAAACAGATCTTCACCCTAATGACTGGGAGGGGCCATTCACCGTCCACCTGTGGCCTTACTCCCGAGTCACCCTTGTTCCTTAACTGTTCCCTTCTCCTGGCAGCTCTACTACCAATTCCTTCCCGGCTGCTGTCCTTGTTGGCCAGGCCATTGAGCTGCGCCAGCAAATTCCCTGGAGGATCAACGTGGTTCCAAAGCAGCGAGGGGTTTTTTATTGCTTCAAAATGAAGCTGGGGGGTTAGAGACCCGTCCCCCTCCCAGACCGGGGTGGGGGCTCCGTACCTTGGTGATCAGGTTGCCGACGTAAGGCAGGACCCCCCTGGCCGCCAGGTAGACCTTCCAGCGGGCTGGCTTGATGAGCTTCTGGTAGAGGGCTAGGTATTCCGCCGCACACTCGCCTGCCACGCACAGCTCATCCAGGTAGCTGGCAGGAAGAAGGGAGGAGGAGGGAGTTAGGGTTAGGGAGGTCAGGAAGCTGAAGGAGAGAGGCTGTCCCCCCCCCTCACCTGGCTCTGGCCTTACCTGGTCAGCAGGTCGAGGACTTGCTGCTTGCGGCTTGGGATGGTAGCCAGGGCTTCCACGATGGTGCAAGCCGCCTGCCGGGCTGCTTGGGTTGCTGGGGTGAACAAGACCTGGAAACAGGGGGAGGAGAAGGGAGATGCCCCTTGGGCACTCACATGGCATGGATCCCACCTCGTTCTTTGGAGAATCTCTGCTTCTTCCATCGCCTTCTGCAAGAGTCTGGCCTTTCCTCTTCCTCCTCCCCCTTCTACTCCTCCCCCTCCCCCTTCTTCCTCTTCTCCTTTTTCTTCCCCTTTCTTCCTCTTTTCCTCCTCCTCTTTCACCTTCTTCCTCTTCTCCTCCTTTTCCTCCCCTTCTGTCTTCCTTTTTCTCCTCCTTCTCCTTCCTTCTTTTCCTCTTCCTCTTCCACTCCTCCACCTTCCTCTTCTCCACCTTCTTCCACTTCTCCTCCTCCTTCCCCTTTCTTCCACCTCTCCTCTTCCTACTTCACCTTCTTCCTCTCCTCCTCCTCTCCTCCACCCTCTTTTTCCTTCCCTTTTCCTTCTTCCGCTTCTCTTCCTCTTCCACTCCTCCAACTTCCTCTTCTCCTCCACCTTCTTTTACTTCTCTTTTTTCTCCTCCTTCCCCTTCCTTCCTCCTCTCCTCCTTTTCCTACTTCACCTTCTTCCTCTCCTCCACTGTGTTCCTCTTCTCTTCTTCTTCCACTCCTCCACCTCCTCCCTCTTCTCCTTTTCCTTCCCCTAAATCGTCCTCTCCCCCCCCCCCCCCCCCGTGCGTGCATCAGTGTGTCTCACCTGCCGCAGCCAATTGTTGTGTCCCAGCTTGAGGTCCAGAGGGCAGGTCCTCTTCCCCCGCTTGTTCATGAACTGCTTCCACTTCCAGGCGTACTTCTCCGTCAGGTAGAGGTGGCGCAGCTCCGTTCGGCTGGGAGACTTCCCGTTGGCTTCGAGGCCTGAAAGACGTCAAAGCAGCCACGGGAGTGAGCGGCAGGGCGGAGTGGCCGTCCCTCTCAAAGCGGAGCATCCTCGGTCTTCCGTCTCCCGGCTGGGGGAGGAAGGCAGGAACGGGGGTGGGGGTGAAGCGTACCTCTGGCAAGGAGGCATTTCTTCCACACCTCGTAGGAGGCCTTGGGATCCCTCTTGAGCCACAGCTGGGCCTGGGCGTGGATCTCATTGCTGTAGGGCTTGACCGTGGTGAGGGAGTCCACTGGCGTGTCCTGGGGAGCCCAAAAAAGAGAGTCTGGAAGGGACTCGAGACATCACTGCATGCAACTGGGCGCCCACACACCTGAGGCTGGCATGAGGGGGAGGGAGGGAGGGAGGCAAGCCGGATAGCAAGTACCTTGTTCTTCTTGCTGGTGGGTGCCGGGGGCTTGATCAGCTTCTGAAGGATCCGCAGGCACATCAGGGTGATGTTCTCCACCACCACCGGAGTCTTGATGTTCACGGCCATGAGGAAGAGGCTGAGGGCTGAAGCAAACAAAGAGGTCAGAATCGGACCAAAAACTCCAGAAATAACATTCCCCCCCCTCCCCTGCTGGCTTCTGTCCCAGTGAGGATGGCGACTCTCTCCCTCTGGGGGGGAGAGGGAGCAGATCCTTCCCACTCTCTTTTCCACCCCCCTGTCCACCGTAACTGGCTGTCCGAGCCCCGGGTCTCACCGCAACGCAGGCGCAATTCCCAGCAACTGTCCTCCTTGGAGATGGAGTCCGTCAGCAGCAGCATCTCGTACTGAAGGCTGCTGGCCTACATCGGGGGAGAAGGACAGAGTAAGGGGTGTTGCATCTAGGTTTCAGGATGGCGAACCTATGGCACGCATGCCATGGNTGGCAGCCCCTGAGATATTGGAACACTGATATCATGTCTCCCCTAGTCCTTCTTTTCATCAAACTAGACATACCCAGTTCCAGCAAGATACTGCATATAGGTAATCTATGTTGTCTTCAACCACCCACTGTAGCCTCCCATGGGAATTAGGAGCAGAAAGAGGATATATAAGTATCCCCCCTTCCATTTTGTCACCATGTCTCTCACCTGGATTGAGCCACTACTGATTTCCATCACCCTATTTTTAAAAAGCAGTAAGTGATAGATTTCCTACTATATTTTGCAGTGACTCTGCTTCCTGCCAAAATGTGCTTCCTGATCATTGCCAGTCATTTTCCAACAGTCCACTGGAGGAAGTACCTCCTTAGGGAAAGCAACACATAAGGCTAAATCAATCATGTACACAAAGCCATGTGAGGTAATCGTTGTTATTCAACATTGACTATCAGTTTCTTATAACAATTAAGTATCTGAAGATGTTTTATGGAAATTTTCTAGCCTGTTTGTGACCTCAGGACATTCATGCATGATAAACATACTCCACTTATTCTGCTCCTGTTTGTGTTATGTAAAGCTCAGAAAATAAGTAAACAGTCAATGAAAATTGCTGAAAGCGTGAAATAAAAATAATATCTAAATCTCATTTACATCACCACTATCAATTCTCTCTCCCCATTCCTTCCTGTTCTTGCAAACCATCTCTGCTTGCATTATGGAGTCCTGATCTTTCTCCAACACCATACAAGACTCACTAAAAATAATTCATTGCATGCAAAAAGGATGCAAAACCAGTGCACTAACTGTCAGCACAGCCAATTGTTATTCTTTTATACATAGGCTTTACCATAAGTCCATTAAACAACAGTACCCATCTGTTCCTTATTCCCTGATCAACATTGTTATCCATAGGAGTGGGCCAAGTAGGAAAGGGATGAAACATGCAACTTGACATGATAACACAAACCCCTTAATGATGCACTTGTGTCAAGGTTTCCACTTCGACGATGCAAAGTTCATCATTTATTTGTCACCACAACTTGTAGCACACATCTGTGCTATTTCACATTGAACCATATTCTAAAGAATCTGTTTAATTTGGGGCATGGTTTGCTTCCATCATGTACTAGTTTACAGCATGCAACAGCCAATTCTCATCTTTCTGTTAACTGAAAACTTCCCATAATTCAATCCCATTCACTTTATCATTTGCTTTTTCACTATTGCTTAGGCTTAAAATTTAATCCTCTTTATGTTCCATCACTGCCTCTGCTTAACTTCTCAAAGGACATCTTTCTACAGATTTGACATAAAGCCATTTTATTTTATTTTTTCAAATTTTGCTCATTGTTCCCGCCCCTATCCTGTAATGATATATGAGAATGACCTTGGGAGATAGGGGAAAGAGTTGCAGCCAGGGGAATGGTAGCTAAGCCTGTAGAAGGAATGTAGGCAAAGTAGATGTCTGAGAATGGACCAGTGGTGAAATTCAATTTTTTTTACTACCAGTTCTGTCGGTGTGACTTGGTGGGCATGGCAGGGGAAGGATACTGCAAAATCCCCATTTCCACCCCACTCTGGGGCCAGCCAAAGGTGGTATTTGCTGGTTCTCCAAACTACTCAACATTTCTGCTATAAGTTCTCCAGAACCTGTCAGAACCTGCTGAATTTCCCCCCTTGAATGGGCCCTTTCTAGTTTCTTGGTCTGTGAAGGTTATGGGGAAAATACAAGATTGCAAGGTTCTGTTAATGTAACCTTATAATAACTTTGAATTAGTTCATTTAAGTGTGCTTCCTGTCCGAACTATCTTGCAAGGCTGACATATCCTTTCAAATGAAATTCTGCCAAATTCTTTCTGGGTAACTTAACAAATTAACCACTTCATGGTTTTTAAATTCACATTTTACATTCACTTTTCCCTTTATGTAAAGGAGGAAATAGTAGCATTCTTCCCATCATTAGTCACAGCTGTGCTCTGCACTCTCTGTTAAATAAATGATAGACACTCTGAGGAAACTACACCCACATCTACATGTTTCTCCAATTACACTATCTACATCTGAAGTTTTATATTTTTCAATGTCCTTATAGCATTTATGATTTTCTTTTCCTTTTTCTTTAAAGGTGACCTAATATTTATTGTTTCATTTTTATTCTAGGTTTTTGGTGTTTCTATAATTCCCATATAAACCTTTGATTTGGTCATTCTATCATTCCCAAATTTCACTTTCATCCCAAATAGCTTTACCTCTTTTAATTCAATCAATTCAGATGGAGGCTCCTTGTTTAGCCCTTTTCACCAACTTTCAAAATAATGATATTTCTCTGCCACTATAAACCATAAGCATTTCTTGCTCTTCGACTACATTTTAGTGACTACGGGTAGTCCTTGACTTACCAACATTCATTTAGTAACTGTTCAAAATTATGATGGCACTACCAAAAAGTGACTTAACACCTTTCTCGTACTTACAACCATAGCAGAGTCCTATGGAGTTGGAGTTGGAGTTTATTCAATTTGTAGGCCGCCCTATTCCCCGAAGGGACTCAGGGCAGCTGAACAAAAGCCAAGGGAGGGGAAATTACAAAAAGTAAGACAAACAATCAGACAATACGAACAATTTAAAAGCACAACAGACACAGCAAATTCGAGTAGGTGGGGGGGGGACTCAACCCCAGG